TTGGGGCCCCCTTGGGGACCCCCCGCCCCCCCCCCCAGCCCGCCTTCCCGCTCATCGACAGCATCGACCCCCACGGCTTCGTGTCCTACCGCCTGTTCCGTGACGCCACCCGCTACATGGACGGCCACCACGTGAAGGTACCGGGGGACACCGGGGGACATCACCGGCCTCGTGTCCTGCCTCGGGAGGGGACAGCGAGGGGACAGTGGCGCCGGGCAGTGGGGATGCAAGGGGGAGCAATGGGGACACCAGGGGACACCAGGGGGACCCCAAGGGACGCTCAGTGACATCCTTGCACCGTGCCCGTCCCCAGGATGTGTCCTGTCTCGGGAGGGGACAGTGAAGGGACAGTGGAGCCAGGCAATGGGGATGCAAGGGAGAGAAATGGGGACACCGGGGGACCCTGGGGACCCGTTGGGGACATTCTTGTGCTGTCCCTGTCCCCAGGACATGTCCTGCCTTGGGAGGGGACAGTGAGGGGACAGTGGGACCAGGCAGTGGGGATGCAAGGGGGAGCAATGGGGACACCAGGGGACACCATGGGGACACTAGGGACCCCTTGGGGACGTCCTTGCACCGTCCCTGTCCCCAGGACGTGTCCTGCCTCAGGAGGGACAGTGAGGGGACAGTGGGACCAGGCAGTGGGGATGCAAGGGGGAGCAATGGGGACACCAGGGGACACCATGGGGACACCGGAGGACCCTGGGGGCCCCTTGGGGACATCCTCACGCTGTCCCTGTCCCTAGGACATGTCCTGCCTTGGGAGGGGACAGTGAGGGGACAGTGGGGCCAGGCAGTGGGGATGCAAGGGAGAGCAATGGGGACACCAGGGGACACCATGGGGACACCAGGGACCCCTTGGGGACGTCCTTGCACCGTCCCTGTCCCCAGGACGTGTCCTGCCTCAGGAGGGGACAGTGGGGCCAGGCAATGGGGATGCAAGGGGGAGCAATGGGGACACCAGGGGACACCATGGGGACACTAGGGCCCCCTTGGGGACGTCCTTGCACCGTCCCTGTCCCCAGGACGTGTCCTGCCTCAGGAGGGGACAGTGGGGCCAGGCAATGGGGATGCAAGGGGGACACCAGGGGACACCAGGGGGACCCCGGGGGTCCCGGGGGGCCCCTTGGGGACATTCTTGTGCTGCCCCTGTCCCCAGGACATGTCCTGCCTTGGGAGGGGACAGTGAGGGGACAGTGGGGCCAGGCAGTGGGGATGCAAGGGGGAGCAATGGGGACACCACGGGACACCATGGGGACACTAGGGACCCCTTGGGGACGTCCTTGCACGGTCCCTGTCCCTAGGACGTGTCCTGCCTCAGGAGGGGACAGTGGGGCCAGGCAATGGGGATGCAAGGGGGAGCAATGGGGACACCA